GTTTAGGGTACCCCTTAATTAAGGAATCTGCCTGAAATTATAGGGGCTTTAATATTATAGTTTGAGGTATATTCCTTAATTGAGGGGTATTGGGTTCTTCGGGTAGCTATAGGTACCGTCATGGGGGATTTTTCCAGTATCATAATGACAGTTCCAACTCAGAAACCCTAGTTACATTCTAGTCAAGGACCTGTTGGGACAAGATTTGAGGTTTCACACGGGTTAAGAAATGAGTTGATCCGGATGGTTCTGTGTAGGGTGTGTACTTGGAGGATCATGGGACTTAGTAAGTAGGGTTATAAGTACCTTAATTGGGGCTATAAGTAATTATAAGTGTAGTTACCTTATTTATAACCCTACTTACTAAGTCCCATGATCCTTTAAGTACGGCTGCTTTCATCAGGTTTTTGAATGGTTCAAGGCTCCAGGTTTGCAGAGTCGGTTTAGGGTTTAGGGTTTAGGGTTTAGGGTTTAGACACACAGCCGTGCCATTTGAGGTTGAGTACTCGGGATACTCGGGCCATGTACGTTAGGCTTACCCTAAACCCTAAACCCTATACCTTTTAGGGGCTAGTGGCGAGGGTCTAGGGCTGTGGGTTTACGCGTGGATAGGTTTAGCATAGTTCTTTGCTGGCTGGTCTCGTAAAAATGTGGAGTTTCCGAAAATTAGGGTAACACACTTTGGGGTCCTTGTAATAAGGATCCTACTATGTAGGGTACTATATTAGAATCCCCTATTTTCTGAAACTCCCATGTCATGTCTCTGTGCTTGTTTAACAGATGGGTTTTGTGATTAGGTATTTGAGGGTTTGTGGTTTAGGATGAGGTAGCTGTCATTCCCTTTCTGCAGGCACACACAGATGAACTGGCTACACTCTGCCTGGACCCCAAAAGTATGTCGAATAATAGCCTTTTATAGGTGTCGGGCCATTATTCTACCTACTTTTGGGGGTCCAGGTAGGTATAAGACCCTAAACCCAAAACCCTGAGCCCTAAAGCCTAAACCCTAAACCCGAAACGCCAAACCCTAAACTCTCTAGGTAAGGAATATAGGGTTCAGGGTTTTAGGATTTAGGGTCTAGGGCTTTGGGTTTAGGTTTTTTTCCATAACTTAAGGAATATACCATAATCCCATAGATTTAGGGTCCTAAGGCAACGCAGGATTGATATCATCAACAGCATCAGTGCTATGAGTTGCCATAACTTCCCCAAGACAAACCTCTCGGAACCATTTAAGAGCCCGATTAAGGCCCCTATATTACCCCAAACCCAAAACCCAAAACCCTAAACCCTAAAACCCTTATAAAGTTCATCGAAGGCGCCCGACTGGTGCTCGCCAGCCCGTACGCACACGACGACTACACACTGCAGCTGGCCGGCACAAGCTACCGTAACGGACCAACTGACCCTGAAAAGGCAGGGTTTAGGGTTTAGGGTTTAGGGTTTAGGGGCTCTAATGTATATAGGGGCCTTGATAACTAGAATCGGGTTTTGGAGGTTCCTGCTAAAGTGCTTCGTCGTAGCTTGATTTGTATGGATGGTTCTGGCGCTCCCGCTGGGGGTTCCTTATTTTTGTTTTAGTCTTTTGTACCCCTAAACCTTATTCCAATTATTAAGACCCCTATGTTATGCGCATATAAGCCCTAAACCCTAAACTCCATATGTGTGAATCCTTGTCTGGTATTTGGGCTTACAGCTTTTTTAGGGTTACTTCGTCTTCGAGGGACGGGTGGTTTTAAGGTTGTTATACAGGGAATTAAAGGGTATCTAGCGTCCACGCGACTTGTATGGTATATAGTCAAGCCGTCGAGGAGTTCTTATGATAGTTTAGGGTTCGGGGGGTATCGTGCTTTGGGAGAGCCTAATCCCTAAACTCATAACAAATAAAGCCTCGCCTCAAACCTAAACCCCTAAATCCTAAATCCTACACCCCTAAGCCCCTAAACCCAATCCTAAACCCCACATCCCGAAACCCTAAATCCTTGAGGCAGGCATTTCCCCCCCCCCCCTCTTCTCGGCCTTTCCCGAAGTGTCCTTTAAGGGTAACGGTAAGGGTTCTTGTAAGGTTTTCCGCACGGATTTGGGGTTTAGGGTTTACCCTACCCTACTTCTCCGAAGTACCTAGTTTGTAGAAAGAATGGTTTCCATAGGTCTATAGTAGGAATTATCGTTACCCTCGCGGTCCAAGTACCTAGCAAGCAGATGATACTCTCCCAAGTACTAACCTACATACCTAATATCCGAAACCCAAGCACATAAACCCTAAGCCGCAAGCACCTATTTAAGTATCCCCAATAAATGAATCCTTGCAGAACCCCCAACGGAATCCTTACAAAGTTTCTTAAAGGAATCTTTGTAGCTTCTTAAAGGAATCTTTGTAGAACCCCATATAACCCCTAGGCCCTAAACCCTAAACCATAAGCCTTAAACCCTGAACCCAAAGCCCTAAACCCTATGCCCCAAATCCTAAACCCTTCCAGAACGCTTTTCGGTACTGAGGACCTTTTGTGCTTGGGTTTTTCGTCTCCGGGAGGGTTTTAGGGTTTAGGGCTTGAGGGTTTAGGGTTTAGGGTTTAGGGTTCAGGGTTTAGGGTTTAGGGTTTATAGTAGGGTTTATAGGGTTTAGGGGTTTTAGGGTTTAGGGGTTTTAGGGTTTTGGGTTTTGGGTTTTAGGGCTTTAGGCTTTAGGGTTTAGGTGCAAAACCTCGAACCGAACCCCCAAAGCATTAAACTTATATCCCGAAGCCCTAAGCCTACAAAAATATGGGTTAGTTGATCCTGAAGCCCGATAGCACCCCATAAGCCGTGTTTTATCTAGGGCTCGATTAATTAACCTAGCTTTGTAAGGCCCAGTTTGTCCTGTTTGCACAGCCCTGTCACACATCCGACAGTGCAGCAATAAGCCCTGAGCTAGATATGCAACCGCGTGCTCAGGCAGCACCTGGCCATTGTGGAGGAGATCCGTGCCGAAATGGCAACATGGAACGAGGTCTGGGCGGAGCATTTAGACGGTTCTGGGCTGTAGTAAATTATGCTTGTGATATGTAGGCTTGACAGATTACATTTGTATAGATGTGTACACATCATATATATATATATGTATTTTTACTATGGAGAGAGAGAGAAAGAGCGAGAAAGAAGCTTTCCCTGAACCCTTAACCGCCTAAACCCGGAAACCCTTGAACCCTGAAGTCTACACCCTAAACCCTACATTGTAAGTCGTCGCTCGGCAGGTAGACCACTACATCGACTTCCTCCAAGATGTGGCCAGGGATCCGATCCTCGCCAAAAGACTGTGTCTAACCCTGCCTGGAGGATCATGGGACTTAGTAACTAGGGTTAGAAGTACCTTAGTTGGGGCTATAAGTAATTATAAGTATAGTTACCTTAATTATACCCCCAGTTACTAAGTCCCATGATCCTTTAAGTAATGCTCTAAGGACTCACAGTTTGGGGCTTCGTAAGCTTAAAGCTGCCTTAAAGGTTCCACTTTAAAGGCTTCCTCTTTCAAAGTGCCATCAAATTGTAGAAAGGTTGGCTGGGTTCGTGTGCTGTGAATATGGTAGCATTTCGGGTGGTGACTCTGACCCAGCCTGGTTCAGTAACATATTTCTACAGGATAGGGACATGGTCCGAAGCAAGATCTCTTGCCCATGATGGTCAACCTGAGCTAGGCAAGGCTGTGTCCCGGGGTTACCACAGAATCCATGGATCACTCCGAAAGCCCAATCGCGAAATTCAGTACGGGTACATGGACCCTGAGGGCAACGTAAACCGCAAGACCCAGCCCCTGGGCTTCGAACACCGAAACTGTAAGGTTCCGTGCCTTCCGAAAGACCTGGCCACAACCCTTTCTGTTGATGATATAAATCCTGCAGTACCTTAAGAACCCTAAACTATGGGAATTATGGTACATTCCATACTATGGGTAATGCAGGTTTGTATAATCAACTGTAGTACCCTTTTGCCCTTTGTCTTCTAGGGTCCCCTTATTGAAGCCGAATAGTACCCTTGTTATAAAGGGGCTACACAGGGTTAACCCTAAACCCTAAACCCTAAACCGTGCCCGGTTCTACCAAAGTCGTAGGGTTTGTAAATTCCCAAAGCCTGTAAACCCTAAACCCTAAACCCTAAACCCTAAACCCTAAACCCTAAACCCTAAACCCAATCTGGAACCGAAAGCCCAGGGCACGTCGACTTTGAAAGGGTTTAGGGCTTTAGGGTTTAGGATTTAGGGTTTGGGGGTTTAGGGTCAGGGTGTAGGGTTTAGGGGTTTAAGGGTGCCCTTATTACAGAGTACAAGGTGTAGGGTTTAGGGGTGAGGGATTTATAGAGTACATGTCGAAAGTCTATAGACATGTTCGCATGGGTAGTTGCCCTTATAGGAGCCTTATAGAAGGTCTATATACCTTATAGAAGCCCTATAAAAATCCCGTATCCCCTAAACTCCCCACCTGTAATTTCCTTTAAGAAAGGGAGCCACCAGATGATACGATCAACAACCTATTTTCAGACCTGGGCTTACTTATAGGGTCATACCCTACCCCTTTTTTAGGGTACCTACTTTTTTATATAACAGATCCTAACCATGAAACTAGGTATCTTAAAAACGGGGTAGGGTATGACCCTTTAGGTATGACAGTGTTTGCAAGCGGATTGTATGAGGATTCTGGGCTTCGGATTTTGATGGGTTTTCGCATTTAGGGTTTGGGGCTTCGGGCTTAGGGGCCTTACCGTGTTGAGGTTGTGGGTTTAGGGGTTTGGGTTTAGGGTTTGGGCTTTGGGGCTAGGGAATGCTCAGGCATGTCTCAGAGAGGTGCTTCGCAGAGCTTTTCCCGGCAAGCTTAGAGTTAGTTTGCATGACTATGGACTATATACTACTGTTCATTGTAACTGTTGTCGTGCTGCTCCATTGACATTGACATGTTTTCTGGCATCTTATGGCCTCATGGTTGTGTTTTGCAATTTAGCATCAGCCATCTACACCGGTTCAAGCGGCAATGCTACGCGTCTATCGAGCGTCGGGCGATCTGCTTGCTGAGTTCACGCAGGAGGATTTACAGAAACTGGCCAACGCAGACAAATGCCCCGGGCATGTGTTAAAGAGGCATTTGCAAACGCTTTGTGGTCAGTTGAGATTCAAGCAACGACTGCTGAAAGAGGGTTCCGCTGCACCTGAGGCTGCAGTTACATGCAGTCTTTTTCAAAAACATCAAGCACTTCAAAACACTAGTCTTTTACCTTCTAAGTAAGGCTCTCGTGTGTCATATCAACGGCCCTTATCCCTACAAGCGAAACCCTAACAGCACCTAGACCCCCAACGAACCGCAGCAGACCGATGACCTACCCTGAAACGCTAAACCCAAAACCCAAAACCCTGAACCCTAAAACCCTAAACCCTAAACCCTAAACCCTAAACCCAGGTACACAACGATGACGCTTTCCTCGAGCCTCCTCTCGATTTGACGCTGGTGCTCGTACCTTTCGTGACCGCGAGCAAAGCGCAGATTGACCCTGAGCTCTTGTCAAGGAACTTTTGGCTTAGGGTTTACCCTAAGGGTCCAAGTACATAATAATCATATACTCTCCCAAATATTAACCTAGAAAACTACTATCCGCAACCAAAGTACCTGATTATTTGGTACTTTGGACCCTTAGGGTAGGGTTTAAAGTTTATAGGGCTTAGGGTTTAGAGTTTAGGGCTTTGGGTTTAGGGTTTTGGGCTTAGGGCTCAGGGTTTAGTGTTTCGGGTTTAGGGCTTAGGGTTTAGGGCTAGGGATTAGAGACAAGGAAATGGTATTCATGATGTCATAAATCCTGCATTCCTCATAAGAAGGTCAAATACCGTAATTCCCATAGTTTAGGGTCCTTCAGGTAATGCAGGATTTATATCATCAACCGTATTATTGACTTAAGATCCCTGAACAAGGGGCTTGGGGGATAACTACTATCCGCAACCAAAGTACCTTATTGTTGAGTCCTCTGGACCCCCTAAACCCTAAACTCTAAACCCCCTAAACCCTAAACCCTAAACCCCAAACGCCCTAAAATTCCTAAACCCTAAACGCCCTAAAATTCCTAAACCTTAAACCCTTACAGGGCCTGTGAGGGTCCTTTGGACCCTTGGGATTACGGTATCTTAAACCAAATTCCTTTAGACATAATCCCAGAGGGGCCGAGTACCCAAATAGTAGGGTTTTTGGTTCCAAAATCCATACTCTGAATGGTTTTTGGACGTTGAAACCCTACTATTTGGGTACTTGGACCCTTAAGGAATTCCTTTAGACATAATGTTTTACTAGAGATCCCTACGCCCTACGATTTCGGTATCTTAACCCTAAGCCCTACACCCTTAAAACCAAAACCCTAAACCCTAAACCCTAAGCCCTACACCCTTAACCTTAAACCTAAACCCTACACCCTTAAACCCTAAACCCAAAGCCCTAAGCCCTAAACCCAATAGCTCTACACCCTTAAAGCCAAGTTCCTTCACAAGAACCCAGGATCAGCTCATTCAGGCTGCAAAGAGGGGCCCCGGGCCCAGTTGTTTAGGGTTTAGGGTTTAGGGTTTAGGGTTTAGGGTTTAGGGTTTAGTGCCTAGGTATAAGGGAACCTTCGGGCCCTTAAGGGAACCTTTGGGTTTAGGGGTTTAGGGGTTTAGGGTTTAGGGCCTAGGGTTTAGGGTTTAGGGCCTGGGGTTTAGGGTTGAGGGCCTAGGGTTTTAGGGTTTAGGGGTTTAGGGCCTAGGGTTTAGGGTTTAGGGCTTAGGGTTTGGGGGTTGAGGGCCTAGGGTTTTGGGTTTTGGGCTTATGGTTTAGGCTTAGGGCTTATGGTTTAGGGTTTAGGGCTTATGGTTTCGGGTCTAGGGGTTTATTCTTATAGGGTTTCCGGTTGCCCACAGTAACCAAGAACTATGTACCGGTACGTATCGTTTGGCAGAGTAGATGACTTCAGGATGCCTCAGTCATAAAGCAGGTCTGCTGAATCCCTTAAACCCTAAACCCTAAACCCTAAGCCCTAAGCCCTAAACCCTAAACCCTAAACGGCCGTTTTTGTTGGAGGGCCTGCAAGACGAGCCCAGGTGATGTGTCGGCGGTTGAGGACTGTCGAAAGACGCGAACCCTAAATCCCTAATCCTACGGTTGATGATATAGATCTTACATTACCTTAAGGACCCTAAACTATGAGAATCATGGTATACTCCTTCAGGATTTATATCATCAATCGTATGGCTCCATGTACCCACGTAGTCGATGCTTGGGCCTTAACAAGTGCCTCTGTATGAACCGCTCAGGGTGTACCCACAGACTCCAATATCCCTTGATTAAGGAATCTTCCTTAAATCATAGTAGGTATATTCCTTAATTAAGGGATAGTGGAGTCTCTCCCTAAACCCTAAAACCATTAAGGCCCCCCTATTGGGTAATCCTAAGGGCCATTGGGGTCTCTGGAACCCTAAACCCTAAACCCCAAACCAAAACCCTAAACCCTAAACTCTAAACTCTAAATCCTAAACCCTGAACCCGAAACCCTGATCCCTAAACCCTACTAAGAACCAGGGACGCTCAGAGGGTGTACTCGGAATTGCATGTAGCCTTTGGGAAATACCCAAACCGCCAGCTGCATCAGTCCTTTTCAGTCCCCTGCTTCCAGGATCATGGGACTTAGTAAGGAGGGTTAAGGGTTTAGGGTTTAGGGTTTAGGGTTTAGGGCTTAGGGTTTAGGGTTTAGGGTTTAGGGGTTTACTTGGACGATCATGGGACTTAGTAAGTAAGGTTATAAGTACTTTTAA